ATTTAAGGGACCCCACGTTACAGGCTCAACCTCCTGCTGGAGGCAAAAGTCAAAGGCACTCGATCAGACAGGGGCCAGAATTTTGTTGTTTTTACCAGTCAGTTGGTAAAACAATTCAAAATCAACACAAAGGTGGTTAAGGAGCAAGTGTAGTTCCCTCTCCGGTCCTGTGTGGATGAGATGCACGTCTACACTGACGCAGAATGTCCGGGAATCCTTCCCAAGTTCTCTTTTCGGCTCATTTGCCCTGCGGAGCTGCAAGCAGACTTGAGTAAAGTCCTTTTCTGAGCTGAAGAGAGGCTCCTCGTCACCCCTCAGGCTCAGCATCCTGTGTGACCACCTCAAATGCCACCTGTGGGTCTGAGGTAACCCGGGTCTCAATCCAAACTACTCACTGCCGTCTAGCCGGGAAAGTTATGAGTTGGATGGCTAACCATAAGGTTGGCAGTTCAAACCCAGCAGCCACCCCCCCGACAGGAGAAAGACAAGGCTTTTTATTCCCGCAATGATTTCCCGTCACGGAAGCCCACAAAAGGCAGTTCTACTCTGTCCAATACCGCCCTGATGAGCCAGTGCCCTGGGCGACTCCTGACAGTTCTATAGGCAAATGGAACGAGAGCTTCAAGTGTCACTGGAAACAAGCGCCAATGGCAGCGGCTACAAGCTCTTTTGCAAAAGCATCGGCTTGCTGATTAGCATATCACATGTGAAGTGTTTTTATTGGTGAAAAGGAAGGTATTCAGGGCTGGTCCAAACAGCTTACCTTGTGTAGGGCAGTCCTTAGGGGCAGTAGCTGCAGCACACTTCTTGGTCAGTCTTGTCCCGTGAAGTAGGCGTGTTACTAAGTCCTGCCTTGGACATGTGGCTTGATCTCAAGTAGACTTTTGTGTAGGTGCCAAAGGGCCAGAGGCGAGCCAGGCACCATCCTGCTCACAGAACAGGATGAGTTAACTGCTTCCTGGCAGCTTTGCCAACTTGGTGTCTTATGGGGAAGGCTGCATTTGAAACACGACTGTTTTAGTCAAGTAGCAGCTCGTATGCACCCTTCTCCTAGGCTGAGTTCAGGAAGCAAGCCCACCCGGCTGGGAGACTGAAGACCCCAGCTGCATGGGGGTCACGGCTCTCAGAGGAAATGGTGTCCGAGTTCCTTATAGGGGATGCCCATGTAAGTTGAAGAGTATAAATGGTGTTCAGGCCAAAGCTCACAAAATATTAAAATCTAGGAATGCACACAAATGGTCCCATGCCGTCGTCAAGAGGGTGCTAGGAGTGGTTTAGTGTGCATGGTTCACGCACAGCGGAGCCATCAGATGCACGGGCAGCAAACGAGACAAGGCAGGGTTCGGTTCCTGGTGGTGAAACTCACTGCCATCTAATCCATTCAGACTGAAAGCAGCCCGAGGACAGGGTAAACCTTCCCCGGTGGGTTTCCGACACCGTAAACCCTGCAGGAATGGAAAGCCTCATTTTTCTCCATGGGGCAGCGGGTGGCTTCAAACTGCTGCCCTTGTGTGTAGCAGCCCAGAGGGTAACCCACCATGCCCACTAGGGCTGCACTTGATTTTCATGAAGGCCTCAACTGTCGGAGAAAACCTTAGATCTGACACTGAAGCAAGCGCCTGCCACACACACGGGTTTTCGAAGCAGCTGGTGAACAATGGACGGGGTCTGCGACGGTGACCGACAGGGCAGTTACAGGTGCACGATCATACCCAAGGGCTCCGGTCCTAACTGAATGATCTCATTTACTGGAAGATCAACTGCCTTGAGGGGCTGGATCCTCTATAATTAGAGGAATCCAGCCAAGGTCTTAGGCATCTGACAGCAGCTGTCTAGAAGGGCGAGGAGGACTTGAGGCTCAGCGTCTGAGATGGTGAATCTTTCAAAATCTCCACCCGAGAGCCACACTGAAGCGGTGGCAACCAACGGCCGCAGCTTTACCCAAGGGCTGGCGGGGTGTCTTTGAACAATGTACTCCCCAAGTCCATGTGTAGAAACACCATTAGAAGCCATGTGTAGAAACACCAGTGCAACCAAGAGTTAATAGTCACCAGAAACAATGCATTCCCTAAACATGCTGAAGTCGATGGGCTCATGGAAGTATGTTTCACATTATTCTGGGAACGAAACAAAAAAATAAAATGGCACTTAACTGGACTTCTTCCAAGTCATGTTACCAATATTCAGAGTTCTGAATATTGGTCCAATTACCCCCGCAGGACTGCTCCAACCTATTTTCTCCCCGCCTCTCCAAGCTGGAGAGTGAATGTGGACATGGGTGCCCCCCCATGTCCGGGGTGAGGTGGCTTTGGAGTTTTCTAAGGGTCTCCCTGGACGTCAGAAAGACAACTGTGACGTGTTCACCTCTTGTCAGAGTGCACATCTAGAACGTAATCCAGGGGAAGTTTCACGACTGCACATGAATTCAATGTTGTGATGTGCTCCCCGAATTGCAAGACGAACACAGAGCTCTCGGGCAAGCAGGGCTGTGGGATTCATCCCGCTAAAACGGACCAAAGGCACCCTTCTTCCCCGTCAAGCGTCTAGGTGTGTGTATGTGGGGGCTTTCCCATCATTCTAGTCTTGCTGGCACCGTGGGCTGTGAGTTTCAATACTGCAGGTTCAACCCAACCAGTAGTCTGCTCCTGCAAGGATCCTGAAGAGCCCCTTTGCCCAGGGGTGGCTAGGAATTGGGACACAGCCCGTTGGCAGCGGGTTTGGGAGGAGGCTGCCGTCCGTCTACTTGGACACTCACTCAGGTGCACAGAGCTATGGGCCACATTCCACTAGTCCCCATTTCTCTTACGAACAAGTTTCTGAAGAGTCAGAACTCTATTGTAGCTCCCAGTCTCACACAGATTTACTGACCACATTTGTGGAAGGGATCCCTTTCAACCCCTTTTCTCCAAGCACCAAGGTCCTTGTTTCCCCTGAAGCCTTCTATCTGGCTGTGAACAATACAAGTGGGCGCCCATCCCGTGAGCCGCACAGAGGAAGTTGGATACTTGCTGGGAGGGGCCCGGCTTTGTTTGGGATCTGACTCGGGGCCTCCTTACCTGTTGTTTCAGTGAGCAAGCACATATTAAAAAAACACCTCCACACACTTGTGACCTTAAAACAGCTCTTGTGATTTTAGTAGCTAGTTATTCAAATATCAAGACAGGGATAGCGACCCTATAGGACAGGCTAGAACTGGCCCCTGTGGGTTTCTGAGGCTGTAACTCTTTATGGGAAACCAGCCTCATCTTTCAGTGGAGGAGGAGCTGGTTTGAAACTACTAACTGGGGTCAGCAGATGAACACACAATCACGACGTCACCAGGAGTCGGAATCCACTCTGCGGCAGCGAGTTTGAGCACCACCACGTAGGAGCTTTGGCAGCAATGTGGGCCGAGCCCCGCACTGCTGAGCACCAAGTCTGCGGCGGAATCTGGGGAACGACGGAGGTCATCGAACCCCCGACGGTGCTGCCTTTTCCTACAGGGCTGTTGGGAGTCAGAAAAGGCAGCGAGAACACCATCTTTTAGCCTAAGCTCTCGCCCACTCCCGCTGCCCTTGGGTGGCGTCGTGGTTACTCGCTAGCCTGTGGCTCCCAAGGTCAGTAGTTCCAAACCACCAGCCACTTAACGGGCTTTCTACTCCTGTAAACAGTCTCGGAAACTCACAGGGACAGTTCTAACCTCCTACAGGGTCGCTATGAGTCAGTACTGATTCGATGGCAGTGAGACATTTCTCTGGGAGCCACTGGAAGTGGGGTTTTACTGAGCCTAAACAGAACTGTTTACTGCGCTTGATGATAAACTAAGAATCGAGTACTCTATTAGCAACAGGCCTGTGGTTTTCAAAAACAAAAAGATCCTCCCAATAATACAACCTAATACAAACCTGAAGAGTCATGCAGTCAGCCTTCCCAATTACACACGTATCTTATGGCTGTAGCCACGGACAGCAGCAACGGGAATGTGTTCAGAGAGGGGAGATAGTTTCAGCAAAGTCGATGAGGGAGAAACAGTCCAAGGATAAGGAAGCACATTCAACGATTTCAGTCAAATGCCACATTCCATTGCTTTTTCTTGTGCTTTAATAGCCAGGAGAGTGCCCATGAGCATCCCTCACATAATTATGATGAGCGAGGAATGACTCTGGGGTCCTCGGAAACACACTGGAGGTGTCGTAAATCACACACACAGAGCTGTCAACATTCTGTGGGGCTTAACCTTCACTGCATGTATGTTTGGGGTTCTTGGAGTTCATCAACACCTTACGCAGAAAGGTGTCCTTCCAGAACACCTTGGGCAGAAGGACCGAAATGATTTCCAAACAAGACAAGCACTTAAGACATTTACAAACATATTCTCTTGATACTCATAACAAACGTAATCTCTCAGCTCAGCCTCTGGTTCTTAGAAATTTGAAGGCATGGCCAAAATAAACAATGGCATACATCTTCTTTCTCTTCTCCATCAAAATATTTGCCAGTTATTATTACTCAGTGGTACAGCCAATAATGTGGTTAATCCAGAAACTGAAGAAAAAGGACACAAGAATCTTCAGGGCTTAAATATATTTTTATATTGATATTCTGTGTCTTTCTACTCTAAAATAGTACATTACTATTGATTACATACAGGATGAGGTGAGGTATTTGTAAAATATCTGGTAAAAAATAATTTATATACAGTATTCTACATGAGATGGATTCTTATGAACCTTTAGGTCTTCGGAAATGTTAAAATTGATTATCTAAATGAAATAGCCCTGAATGGACTTACAGTTGTTCCCTGAAACCACGTTGAGAGAAAAGATCTTACATTTCCCAGGATGTGTGCAGAAGAGGGAAAGCACATGTATTGGCAGTTAGGACTCCTCACATCCAAGGAATGCACTCACACGCCAGGACTTCCATCATTTACCATAGAGAGGAACCAAAACTATCTGGAGATCTAAAATCTCCAGAGTAATGGTTAGTAATTCACTAACACCAAAGAAATTCAAGTGGTCAACAGTCTTGAAAATGCTTTATTGAAATGTGTGACTTATGTGCAGATGTGTTTGAAAAGACCACAGCTTGAAAATTAGGTTTTGAAACTTCTCAACAACCAATTGGGAAAAATAAAAAGGGAAAAGGGAAATCCCTACTGGAGGTGGCTTCTAGAATAACCAGAAGCCCGCTGTAGAATGTTCCATTACAGTAACGAAATAAAACAGCTATTATTTGGAAACCATTGTGTTGTCTGAAGTCTCAAGAGGAGAAGCAACATTAGCGTGTGGGGTGGCTTCTTTTTGGTTACATTTGGATGAACATGGACTTCACGGTTCTCAGCAGAACATGGGAGGGTGTTCAGGCTGTATGCCTGTCGTGTGGAGAAACAGTGGAACACGGACAGGGAAGGGAAGGATGATGGGAGAAAAGGGACACTGAGGGAAGGGCTTGGGAAAAGAGAACTGGAAGGAGACATGATTAGGTTAAGTCTAGGTATAAATTTATCAGAAGCTGTGCGCACCTTTTTTCAAAGTCCTAAATTTACATTCCAAAAACTGCCCTCTCTCCCATGCCCCCAGACCTGCTTGTCCCTGCCTTAGAGCTAGTGTGAAAGGCTTTGCACAAAAAACGTTTGAAACAGAAAATGAAAAAAACAAAAAACTCAGCCCCACTAAGCCCCCAATCCAACCGCAAAAAGCTGTACATTTTTTTACACACACACAGGATTAATAATATAGGCATATAGGTGACATGATGCAATTAAAAGGCTTTACTTTTTATGCCAGAAACAAAACCAATAAATAAAAGGTGCTAAAGTCAGCACTGAATTTGGTTGTATAGAGAGACAAAGTCTGGGAAAGCAATTCCTCAAAGCTCCCCTGATACTGATCTATCTTAGCAAAACTATGAAGCAAATACATAAATAATGCAAGATATGATTGAGAATGTGAGTTTTTTTTTTTAAACAAAGACAACATAATTCAGGGTAACTCTGTTGAACAGTGAATAAATGAATTCATCTACACCTGAATAAAACATATTTAACAATTGCGGGTGAAAATCTTAAACAACCACAAAAAGTAAAAACGTTGGAACAAGTATGATCAGGGTCTGTTTTAGGGCACACAAACAGGCCTGCAGCAGATTCCGACAGTAGCTGGACTGGTGTGTCTTCTAAGGATGCGCTAGAGACAGACGGAGCTCCACACGGGCCAGGTGAGTAACGAGGCAACAGGACAGTCACACAGGGTGGAGTGAGACACCGGGCTACAACCCCCAGGTTTCACTGCAGAGCTGACTTTGTGCGTACGAGGCACACACAGAAAGGTGAGTCAGGCAGACATTATTCAAAAGCTACTTGGGCAGGTAACTCTTTTGTCATGTAACCATTGAATAATGTTTGGGAAAGCTTTGGGTTGTTTTTTTTTTAAGTTTTACTCCTTGTATTTAATTTTTTTAAATAACAAGGTCACTAAAACTCATGCACGCTGCAAAAAACCTCATGCAGTAGTTAAGGTAAACCATCCAAGCAGTTTTTATTCATTAATATTCATAAATACACACAGCAGCTTCATTAGAGATTTCAATTTCCTCTTCAGTTTGACTGGGGAGTATTAGGAGAGCCTTTTGCATGTCAAGGTACAGGAAGCAGAGATCCCCCTGCACTGCTACCTACATTTACCTGCTAGAAGTAAAAATTAGTTACGTGGAAATGATTATCATATATATTTTCTCTCTTCCTTTTGAATGTACACAATGTAACAAGAGTGACAGACCTGAATTACAATCACCAAACACACCCAGGATCGTTGTTGTCCACGTTCATTGGCAAATACAGCACAGAGGGCACTGTCTGCGGACCGGGATGTCATCAAAGAGGAGGTGGTGGAGGCTCATTTCCTTTATTACTCTCTCTTAAATTTAGGTTCTCTAAAGCAACATCTAAAGGCATAATATCTACACAGCCCATAGCACCAAAATCTGCCATCTCCCCCCGGTCATCCTCGTCCGAGGACGAGCTCTCTTCGCGCACTAACGTGGACAGAAGGAGCTCTTGGACAAACAGGCTGCGGTCTGCGCGCTCGCTTTCCATGGACTGGCGCTCTGTCTCAGACATTTTAGGATCATTCAACCTGTGTGAGTTAAAAAGAAAAGAGCTTATCGGTAAGAAGTCAATGAACAACGGCACAGCTAGTTTCTACAATGCCCTCTGCTGCGCAGGCGTTCCAGACTTGAGACCTATGTATGGCCTGTGTACCTGCTTGGACTTATCACCTTGATTATATCAAAGTAATCCCCCGTACTTGCAGCAGTGCCATGAGGTGCAAATCAATGCTTTTCTAAGGAAAAGCAAAATTCCAAACAGATGAGGGATTTGGGGAAGTAGTGATGTCCCTAACCCCAATTTCACCCGTGGGTGGTAAAAACAAGAAACGCAGCAACTGCCCCCATGAGCCCAGAACCGGCTACCAATAACGAACATTTACAACAAGGATTCTAAAGCAGGAACCAGGTCAAATGGGGGGAGATGTGACAATTAAAAATGGTCTTGGGTTTCAGACTTTCTGGAGTCATTTAGGCTAAACAACCTTCTGACACCATCACCCTGAATCAGCCTTTAAAAGCACCGCAACAACACTATTTTCTGAAGCCGAATCAAACAATAATTTACCCTAGTAGAAAAAGAGTCTACAGTTAGCATTTTCAATTAACTTCAAACAATTAAGTAAGCAATTTAAATCTGTATGTGATCAAATGGACAACTCACAAGGATGAATGAGAAGCAGGGAGGCCATTCTGGTTGTGTTAAGGAGGGAACATTCGTTTGGAAAGATCCATTATCGTGGAATTGTGTATGCACAAACATTGTTGGTGTATGTTTTGTTGCATGTATTTTCACCAAAAAAAAATTAAAATGGCAAAATGAGTAGCAAGCCTGATGACAAAAACAAAATCTGTAGTGATCAGAATATTCAACTGAACAACAAACCAAAAATCCCCACAAACGACTTCCCTTCTTCTACCGTTTCCATCTGGCTCTTTGTGAAATGAAGGGACACCCAGAAATCTGGGAGTGTGCACATGTGGGCTCCCCCCTCACCCCCGGAGTTCACCGACTGGAGCCGACCACGGCAGCAGGGCAGACGCGAGGTCTTGAACACAAGCGCGTATGAGATCCGGGCTATGCCGGGAAATCTGGTTAATCTGCACGGAGATTTAAAGCTGATACTTCAATTTCCCACTTCTTACTAGCTTCTTAATGATTTTAAAATATGAATTCTTTCAAAAGGGAAATCGTTGGGATCAGAACAGAAACAAAGCAGGGAGAAGACGACAGTGCAGGGAGGCCTGCTGGGACACGGGTGCGTGCGGAGCATCACTGGATCGACTCCACGCCCTGCCAGCCAGCTCTGCCCAACACATGACGCTGCATCTCCAGGTAACAACGGAGGATACTTACTGAACACTCATTACTAAGGCCATGCTCTAAGCGCTTTATGAGTCTTCCCCACAGTCCCTTGAGTTAGGGTCTATCATGATCAGCTTTCAGAGGAAGAGGAAACGGAAGAGAGGTGAAGTGACTTGCTCCAAATCTCACAGGAACAAAGTTCAAGATAATGCAATGCTTAGAGCGAGGGTTCAGGAAATGACCGATGATATCTCTGGGTAAAACCAAATTAATAATATCAGAAAAGAGAATTTAAAGAGAGGGGAGACTGAGCAAAGGCTAAAGTCTCCATCCAAAATGATAAAAGTTAAATAACTAAACTATACCCATATCTTTAGTGTTGAGAAAGGATTTTAATAAAGAAAATCGTCTAAAGAAGTCAAACATCTTACAGAAAGATCAGAGGCACCCAGGCGAGGAGAACACTACACACAGAAAACAGGAAAACTGGAAACACGCAGGTGGTGGCTCCTCCCTTTGAAGGGCACCCTTAGCTAAAAAGGGTGCCGCTTTGACCATGCAGGGAACCCCTGAGAAAATGGCACATTCTTGAAGGGCAGAGAAAATGTGGCCCTTCACTTCCGATGGGTTCAACTCCATCTCCGATGTAGAACAACCTGCAAAACCAGCAAGGCCCCTCCTTCATCCAGAGACCAGATTCTCAAACCCTCAGATAATCACTCTCTAAAAAGGTCAACGCCAGGATCCAAGCGAAGTTGTGTTCCAACCAGGGCAACACAACAAGGGATTGCCCCTGGGACTTGCTGTAGGCAGCCTCCTTGTCCTGAAGACTCACAAAGCACACACGTGTTTGAAGTTCTGAGAAACTCAACAGTAAATAAACTCTTTTTGTTACTTAGTTTTCTCCGAATTTATTCACCAGTAATACAGTTAACTTAAGTAACTATACAGATAAACGATGAGTATTCTATCGAGAATAAGGACAAACTTCACAGAGGACAAATCACTTAATAAAAGATATGAAAAGGGGTCTGCAAATTTCAAAGTGCTATATAAATATCAGCCACTCTATCAGATGACCAAACGGGGCCTTAAGAGAGAAGCTACGATCAGGAATCCAAGCCGAGCACCTGGGGGCTGTGCACACTGCCCAGGCCACTGCTGACTGTGGCTGCTGTTGGGGCACTGTCCAGTGGCCCGACTCATAGCGACACTCTGCACCACAGAACCAAACACTATCTCTGCAACAGCCTATGTTTGAGCTCCCTGTCGCAGCCACTGTGTCACTTCTTGTCAAGAGGGTCTTTTTTATTCTGTGGACCCTCTACTTTATCAAGCCTGCTATCCTTCTTCTCCAGGGACCGGTCCCTTCTGATAACGTGACCAGAGTAGTGAGATAAAGTCTCGATTCTAAGACTCCTTTTGGCTGAACTTCTTCCAAGACGAATGTATTCCTCCTTCTAGCAGTCCATGTCTATTCGACGTTCTTTGCCAATCCCATAACGTAAAGCATCAGTTCTCCCGGGGTCTTCCTTAGGCATTGTTGGGCTTGGGCTTGGGTCAAACACACTTTAGCCCACAGAGTGAAATCTCTGCCTTCTCCCTCCTCAAGGTTGTTGGAGATATTTTGTAGCAGATTTGCTCAGGGCAATGGATCCTTTGCTCTCTTAACAGCGTCAGTGTCTTCTCCGTTTTGCAGGCATCTCCTGCAGAAGAACTACCCAGAGAACAGGCCCAGGTCTGGTGCTCTAAATAGAGACGGTGGTGGTTTTTCCAAATGGCAGACACGACGACGTTTGCCGTGGTTCTTTGGAAAAGCAGTCTGAGCGACTTCCCCCACTGAGCACTGAGGGTCTCGGCTTCTCTACCTCAGAGGGCCTGCTCCTGGTCTCTAGTTTGAAGGACATTTCCTGGAAGGCTGTAAACAACCTGGTTTAGCACTTTTCTCTGGGTCTGGGCTACAGCCTGCCCCATGTCTGGCACACACCTTGAAGGGACTGGTCACTAGACTATGCAAATGAGGTGACTACAGCCCAATATGCACGGTAAGTGTCTGTGGCTTACAGAGAGGAAATCAATCAATTCTTGGCCCCAGGGAGGGGTGCCATACCTTAAAATCTACAACAAGAACCCAAACCTAGTGCCATCAAGTTAATTCAGACTCATGAACACATCAGTATTATTTACCACATTTAATCCTCAAAACAATCGCCTCATAAGGCACAATTAACAATAAAACAGGTTTGGAGGACTGAAGGGCCTTGCCTTGGGTCCCCAGCTCATAGGTGCTGAAGCTGGCCGGGGCTGTCTCCCTGCATGCCCGTGCTCTCCACTCCACTCTCCACCACCGTCAACTCCATTTCCCCAAGAGTTTTCTGAAGCCTCATCGTTATTTATAATGACGCACATGTACCACTCTACTAAAAGGGTTTTTAAAAAGAAGAAATAGAGTTACAATTCTATGTAATTTTGGAAATTATTGATATACTATTTTCCACCTTCATTTTATGGGTATGTTTCTTTTTTGGGAGTTGGGAAAACTTCTGCTCCATGAAAAAGTCCAAATTAGCACAAGCTGAACCTAACTTTGCTCTTTTTAAAACCTTTCACATTCTTAAAAGTCACATCCAATGCCAAAGAAGTCTGTCCTCCATTGGGTGGAGGGCTGTATGGTGGGAAAATTACTTTTCTCAAGAGTTCACTTTTATGTGCCAACCAGAGGAATTTAAATTCTTCCTTTAAAATAAACACTCAGAACAAAAACCCACCCTGTATTATGAAATCCTTTTCTGTACCTCTTAATGCTTCATAACAGACTTTGAAATGTCAACGATGATGGTAAATGCAATGAGCAATATATGTAACGATATGGTGTGTAAGTCTTACTGGCAATAGGAGGAAGGAGATACACATTAGGTGTTGAGATATAGTATGAAAACAAGAAGAATAGTATTTCTACTTTATCTAACATTCTTTTTCATCTTCTTTGGGAGACCGTGACGTGCAGTGTTGATTAGATCTGTGAGTGTTAAGGGTGTAACAAAAGGCAGAGTTTCTAAGAACTTCTCTATGCACAAATGAGAAGAGATCATTTCAGGATCGGCAGTGCTGATAAAACATTCTCTCTCCAACAAAACTATTAATAAATAAATGCGCTACCTTGTTAAAAGAAATTGGGAATTCTGGATCGCTTGCTGACTGCTTTCTGTAGTAGCTGTGTTGGTTGTTGCTGTGGATTGTGTGATTGTAGTGGTGACACTGCTTGTGTTGGTACGCCGGGTTGCGTTCCGTGCGGTCTCCAGTTGTTGCCGTGCTGCCTGGGCGTGCTGCCGTTCTAGCTGCAGCTGCATCTGCAGTTGTTGTAACTGAGAAGCGGAAGGGCCAGAAGAATTAAGCTGTCCTCCTGCAGAGCGTCTCACTCCTGATAGCTGAGATAAAAGCTCTGCCAAGGGAAATGAAGACAATTAAAGGCTGCTAAAAAAACTGCTGGGGCACAAAATGCTACAGAGGAACATTAAAGAGCATCACGAATAGATAGGTATCCAGTCACCTGGGAGCACAATACCTTACAGAGTGCCTCCATGGGCATTCATTGTGTGTATGGGAATGCAAATGCAAACCAACAGTAACCCAAATATGATTACTTTTGTATTAAGCAAAAGATTCAGAAGAAATTGCTTTCTAAACTATTTGCCTGCTAGATTCATGCAGTTGTACTTTCTTGTAGTACTTTAGCACCTGAGAGGGTTTCCTTTACTGGTCCAATTATGGTCTACCCCTCCTCTGTTTACTACATCCCAGGTCTTCAAAGAGCACCTGACACACAGCAGAAACTCAAGCAGCTTACTAAATGAGTAATCAAGCTACTGAAGTTAGAACCAGGAAGACTAGTACCTCTCACCCACCTGCCTCTCCCTTCTTTCACAGACACTTTTCTGGTACTACAGTTTAACAGGTGCCACGGGCAGTTCTCAATAAGGCCAATTTCCCCCCAAGAATGTGTTGTCCTGGCCTTACTTTATTTATTGACCAAAAACGACTGCTATTGAGTTGATGACATAGTGACCCTATACAGGGTTCCCAAGACTGGGAATCTTTATGACAGTGGACAGTCTTATCTTTCTCCCCCAGCAAAAGCTGGTGGGTTTGAATCACCGACCTTACAGTTAGCAATCCAACGCTCAGTCTAGAGCGACAGTGAGGCTCATTATATAACAGGTTGGTTGTACTCAAGAAGAATGATGTGGGCTCTGTCCCTGCACCCTCATTTCAGTGCCATGTAATCACTGCCTTGCACGTGTGTGTGATTCTCTCTCTCTCTCTCTTACATGGAATTATCACAGACCAGCAAACGCTTTTCAAAATTAAAACAATGAAATTTTCCTTTATTGTTCACTGTTGCTTTATCGTAGGTCTTCTATCAAACAAATGGACAAAGTAAAACGAACAAGTCCCCCGCACCCCGACTCAGTTTATTGTTTTGTGAACAAATGTTATCTTGAACTGCGATTTTTATGCTTTAAAGAATATTTGTGAGCAAAATGGTTCCCATTTTCTATTGAGCATTTAAGCGTTAGTATCTGATGGCGTTCTGTAAGGTGCCCCAGGGCTGGTTTCAGAAAAACATTCCACCATGTACACCCCTTTGATGCCTGGTGCCCCTCTCAGATCCCGAGACAAAGAGCCTGATTTTCATACCCAGCCCTCGTGACCACTGCAGGCCGCCCAGGCTCCCTGGGTGCTGGAGGCCATGGCTTACCTTCCAACACCACGGTCAGGTGTTTTAATAGGGACTCAACATACTCCACAACAACAGAGTTTGCAAACCAAAGCAAGGACAAAGGAATTCCTACTTTGTTTTCTTCAATGAAGAGAGCTTAATCTTTTAGCCTTGTCAACTATTATTATTTTTTAACAGAGTTTAAAACATGGAGCATTGGAGTTCAATTCTGGCCTATCCTATGATTTTTGCAGGATTCAAAGGAGGCCATAAATATAAGAAGTCATTTCTTAATCTCTTGTGTCAGATTAGGAACAGTTGTGTGTTGCCTGCTTTTAATATATTTCATACTCATAAAACACTTGGGGATTTTATGAAGACACAAAGGAGTGTAATCAACAAGTAAGACTAGGAACACAAACTCCACAAAAACCTTTAAAACGAAGGCCCCTCCCATCCCCGGATTCCCTTATTAATGCGACGGCCACTTACCAGCTATCGGATCCATGGCTTCCCTATTGCTTGGAGAGTATGAACTCTGAGAAGAAGCAAGTCCACCAGTAGAACTGCTAGTAAAGTGCATGTTTGATCTACGAGCGCGAGGCCCTCCTAATCCCCGGCCAGGGTGGAACATTCTGCGTACATGTCGAACACCACTCGATTCATCATGACACAAAAGTTAAGAAAGACCCAACCAGTTCACAGAAGGGAAAATACCACTTGAACTTTTGCTGGAAGGTTTTCTAAACTGCCAGGTATTTTAAAATAGCCCATAAGCTAGATAGAAAACGTCCCTAGTAGATTGATGAGGGCTCTTAAGTACAGAAAAGGACATAAAACATTTTAAACCATGTACATTTGTGTGCACGGGTATCGCATGTGATTATGTTTTCAGAGGGAACTGCCATTTCATCAGGTGGGAAAACTACTTTCTCTTCTGATGCTCTGGCTACAATGACCAAAGGCCCAGCCTGACATTCCCTATCCCGATGATCTCAGTACTGAATTTCAAAACATTTCTTCAAGCTCCAGTGCAACAGCAAACAGCCACACAGAGAGCTGACTTGCTGGAGTTAGGTGGGCATACAGAAGCACGATTCTATTTATCAGGAAGTTAAACGTTCGAAAGTTTCAACCAACTTACCCACCTAAGTGTGGGTCACCCAAACTCATGTGCAACCTATGCTCTTTCCAAACAGGCCAGTATATGTGTGGGACAAGCTGGACGTATACCAAACAGGAGAGCTCTATAATGAAAACCTTATTCTTTCACGGACTTCCCAGTGTGTCAGCGGCTGGTTTGAGGAGGCGTTTAGTGACAGGACAAATGATCGTGAGGCCCTCAGGTACCACTATACTGAGTAACATTTCATCACCGTATTCATGAGGACAGAGAGCCTAGGTTCTACAGAAAGGGATGCTATGACCATTCTATTTTGTTTTCATAAAAATAGCTTGGTGTGACATACATGTTAGAATTCTAGCAAAATCGTGGAAAAGTAAAATATACGGTGCTTGAGATTTAGAGGCTTACACAAAAGTCATTCCCTGATGTCAGTTACTGCCAAGCCAGCATTTTACATTTTAAAACTTACTGGTAACACTTCCTAGGAATCTAAAATGTAATTTTTGTGGCCCCCTTGTGCTACACAATTTATTCTTGTCTTGGCAACTAAAGGCATTAACAAAAATCTGACAAGTTGATGCAGATGCGCCGGGAAGTTAACTGAATAAATACCTACTTCACCAGAGGGCCGGAAGTTAACTGAATAAATACCTATTTCACCAGAGGGCCCTGGGCTTGCAGAGACGTTCAGGAGGTCAGCTAGGTTTTAATTATTTGTCGAGTTTCCCCAGGACAGGGGAGTGAGGCACGCCTTCTGGGTACTGTGTAAAGGGTTATTTTGCACAGAATGCAAAGTGACTCAGAGGCTTATATATTCTTGACTTCTGTGTTTTCTCTAAAAACGCCACTTTCTTCACACTGTGGGAAAGTGGCCCCCTCTACTCCCTATGTGTTAGCTCCTATCTCAGGCCAGGATAGCACTTTGATTCCTTAAGCCAGTCCCAGGATAATTCTCCTAAAAAGAAAGGGTCATATTTCCAATGAGAAAATTAGGAACGAAAAGCAAGGAACTGCGCCTGTAGGACTGAAATACGGCCAACTGAGTTTTATCCTCAGTAGGTCTAAGGCGGAATGATTATTGCCAAGAGACAATCAGAGGAATGAAGTCAAGTTTAGCAAAGCAAAAGCAGCATTCTGATGAATATTTCAGTTGCTTTAAACTCAACTGGTCATAGAAACATTCACACAGTAACAAAATCCTGACTTAATAGGTGATATACACATATACATATATACACATATATACATACATACATATATATATATATATTTTTTTTTTTAAAATAGGTGATAATTTTTGAAAAAAACATTTGTAACCTGAAACTAGAAGCCTTACATTTACAAGACTAAGTGTCCTGGTAGGGGACGTAAGTATGCTGCTAGAAGTTGTTGTGAGAGGGGCTTGGGAAAAGGACACAGAATGACAGTGGGAGGGGAATTTAGATGTGTATCTGGTCTTAAGCTATCCTACTCAGGCTGGGCACAAAATGGCTCTCTCTAGAGCAGGGGGCCCCCACATGTGTTGGGAGCAACAGGGCAAGCCAGCAGAGGAACAGAGGGGCCAGGGCACTAATCCACCTTACACTGAACTACTGAGATTTTAACTAGGATTAACACTTCCCTCTTTTGGTATAACTACATATGCCTGAAAAATTCAAGACCTGGCCCCATCTACCATTTAAAAAAAAAAAAAAAAAA